CCTGTTTTCCCTCCAAGGCGCATTTCACAGAGTCGCACGCAACAATACGCTCGCGAATTCGGTAGACACAGCAACAGTATCTATACTGTATAATAGTTCGCTGCGGACGGTTGGGTGTGTCAGCCAGTATGAGTGTGTCACCCTATCAGAGCCGTTCTCTGCCTTCTTGTTGAAGAGCGCATGCGACAAAAAGTGGTAGAAAACGAGTAATACGAAGCATATGATACAGTATTGTCACTTGCCCGCTTCAACAACTGGTGTAGAACGAGTTTGGCACCGCGCCAAACGCAGCCGCACTGACACGCCCAACCGTCCGCAGCGAACTACAGTATAAATACTGTTGCTGTGTCTACCGAATTCACGCGCGCATTGTTGCGTGCGACTCTGTGAAATGCGCCTTGGAGGGAAAACAGGGTACATTAAGGTACAGAAGCAAGTCAAAATCTAGCCATCTTCGACCTTTCTTACAAATCCTACCCGTCCAAATTAACCAGCTTTTTTTTGTAAGGTCACTGATCCTAAAAGTTGACGTTAAACTTATGGATACCACATTGGTAATAAGTTTTGTAATTTAATACTGCACGCAAGAGATGGAAGGATTTAGGCAGTTCGGCGACGTGGTGGGGGGGGGCATTTCTGCACTTTTGCTACTTCCCATCGACGTGTCGACCCATCTAGAGAGCCTTTCTGAGTTGACAGGTTTACCATGGTGGCTCGACGAGCTTGCTCCAGCTTCACAAGAGTTCACAGGTTTCACCAGAGTGAGACTTGTAAACCGGAACTAGTGAAGCAGTGAAAGTGCAAAATGCCCCTCCCCTCCTCCGTCGCCAAGTTGCGCCGCAAGGATGAAAAGGGGTGAAGGTTTCGCTTCTTTGATCTTTTTTTGGGTATCGCACGCATTATACTCTATTCCGAATCGTAGTGGCTTTCCTGAATGCGATAAGGGCTATTCAATGAGCGGGGGTCAGCCGATGTACAGCAAGTGTTTTCATCCTTCTAAATCTTTATCTTTACCTTTCATCCTTTTCGGGGAACGAATCTGGTAGCGATTCACCTGGAGGAAGAAGAGATTAGACGGGTTCGTTGGAGCGAGCGATAGGACCCACAGCGCACGCCTCGTAAGCGGACCCTTTGGGAAAGACTGGGGGGAAGGTAGATATCGAAGTATGTCCGAGATATTTTATTATCGTACTGTCTACTGTACTGATAAGCTGACATCTGCCACTAAATCATCCAACTCCAACTTGGGGAAAATGTTCTCACAAGCTGTAGGGATCTGTACCGAGGCCTTCACTTTAAAGGCAGTGGCGATAATTTGGTGCTCGGCCTGAAATGCTAGCAGGGCGCTGTATAGTGGGGAAAATGGCAAAAAAAACAAGTGACATGGTCAAAAACCTGCAAAGAAAAGCCTTCGCTCCAATGATTCAATGAGCATTTTCGGACGAATTTCCCGTAGGCATCTTGCCATAACCGCTACGGTAGTATGGCTGCATGTGTGTAGTCATATTTCCATGCAGCACCGCGGCCGCTTCATACCAATCCCTTCGCTTCACATTTTACTCAGCAAATGGAGCAATTCCAGCAGCAGGTACGGTCGTCCATTTGTGGGCGGGGGGTTGTAGCGTCAGCGTGTGCTGGGTACTGTATCGGGTCGGTACTGTTATAAGCTCGAGTAGGGCCAGTGATAAGCGGCTACCTTTCCTTGGAGAAAGAGCTATGCAGGCGCCTGCTCAGGGTAGCGGAATCCGTCTCTGCCCGCGCGTATCGTATTAAAGACAGGTTACCGCGCTCCGAGGCCTTCAAAATGACTTCGCGCCTTCTGGAACCCTCTGCGCCTTGATGAAGATGATCCCGCTTTTATCCATCAATGGACGCGCGATGAGGAAGTTATCGCAATTTCGACAAGGAGGATAAGCTCCCTTAGGCGCACGGAAGACCGGCTTAGCGTGGACGAGCGGTCTGGTCCCGAACTGCATCCGTCCTTTAAAGCCCGCGCGTCCCTTTAAGCCCGCGTCCCACTGGCATTTTGCCAAAGTTGGCTCATAGCTCAGCTAAAGGTCTTACTTCGGTCAGGCTTGTAAACATGTGTGAAAGTGCGGAACCATTAGTTTTTTTTTGCTTATGGAATGTAGTGCTTGCTTTTCCAATGGTAGGGAGATTTGTTGTCAAGTGGGGTTTGTTGTCATTTTCTTTCTTTTTCTTTTTTTTTCTTGTCAATTTCTCAAGAAAACTCCAGCAACCTTCCCAATTTTCTCTGTAAGCAACTCTAATCATCCCATCGTTGGAAAATTGCAGCACGTGCGAAAGCGGCGCTGTAGTGCGACGCTGTACGCGCATTTAGAGAACAGCTCGCTCACGACGACGCGACGTCTAAGAACCTGAGCTCGCGTACAAGGTATATTACGTGAGTAGCTTACGTTCGAAAGTATCCTATTTCGAAAGTTGGGACGCAATTGCGGCTGCCGCATCGAATTCTGGCAGCCACGCCCGGCACACTCGTCCAGGCCCCGCCCCCACTGCTAAAGGTAGGTTTGGGTTCAAGGTGTTCCCGAAGATTTTTCTGCTTCTTTTTCTACTGAGAAGCTAACTATGGAATACTGGTGCATGACAGAGTACAATTGCCCGCAATACTTGATCGCGATAATTGTCTTTAATCCACTGGTCGTTCGAGGTTCATGGGCTGGTTGCTTCAAAATTTTAAAAACCGAAGGATGCATCATCTCATTTAGAGGCGCAAGCATGTTTCTGGTTTTTTTTGCTGGGACACATCACTGAATGTACAGGTATACTACCCGGATGAAGCACCCAGTGAAAGCATCATCCATAATAATAGTGACGGTGGGGATGCTGCCACCATGGGCAAATTTTAAAAGTATGGCTGACACCATTATAGGTCATAATTTTCGGTTTGCTGTGGACTTTTGAAACGAGGTCTATGAATAAAAGCGACACACCTGGGTTGTTGAAATTAGTGAAGGTTTGCGTATCGAGGGTGGCATGTTGAAGTGCCATACCGAGATTCTGTACCGGCTGAGAAATCGGAGCTGACGGCTGCAAAAAAATCATCAAACATGTAAAAGAAATAAAGCGCAAATTAGTTTTTTCCATTTCGAGCTCTTTCTGGGTGATTACCAAGTCCCACTACATAGAACTGTTCTTGCAAAATGTAGATGCTGAGATGTGTCGATGGGCTGGAGTTGGCGCGGCGCCAGCCCCTTTTCCCACCAATTATTAGACCGGGCAAGCAACCATAGTTATTGGAAAACGAGCTTGCACCGCGCTAAGCCGCCATGTGAAACGCGTGTCCCCCCTTGTTGCGAAAACAACTGCGGGAGAAAAAAGTGAAAAAAAATAGTAATCGAACTGGGGTGGCGCCATTTGCAACTGCC